CCTTCGGCATAGTCCCTTTATTCACCAGTGGTCGCCACAGTGGAATGAACCTCCAACTTATCCAGCCCTTCCAGCTGCAACCCATTGGGAAACGTCCATACACACTCATTCACACACACACACACACACTACGGCTAACTTAGCTTAATTAGTTCATCTATAGCGCATGTCTTTGGACTGTGAAACCGGAGCACCCGGAGGAAACCCATGCGAACATGGGGAGAACATGCAAACTCCAGAAATGCCAACATGGCCCAGACGGGACTCGAACCAGCAACCTTCTTGCTATCAACAAACTTTATAAAGATTTAATTTAGATGTCTATTCACTTATGAGCAGCATTCAAAAGCTCAAATATGCTTGCTTGATGTGTTAGAACCAATGAGGTTCCTTGTTGTTGTGTGTCGCGCAACACATATGCACACACATTTGCAACAACTCGAACCAGCAACCTTCTTGCTGTGAGTCGACAGTGCTAACCACTGAGCCACTGTGCCGCTCATTTAAAATCTTTAGTAAATTTTAAAAAGTAACTAAATGTGTGACTTAGTTACTTTTCAATGAAAGAAATGTGAAAGGATGTTATGTTTTTGTTGCACTTTTTAAAAACACTATTAAGATTTATCACTAAAAGTAAGAAACCAAAACATTAATAATTGTGTTTTCTAGAACTAAAACTTCTTAAATAAAGCAAATATGGCTCTTTAATGAAATTGCTGCAATGAAATACCGCATAACATGCTGCAATATCAAAAGAAATATTGAAACGGCCCTCAAACAGGAATAACTCACTCCAAAATCCATCTCCAAATCCAGTTGGCTTGATGTTTTGATGCTCGACTATTTACCCTCATCAAAGCTACTGCGAGAGAGGAAGTGAGTGAATGAGAATGCATGTTCTGCTCCAGTGTTGACCTTTTCATTTGTGCTTGGGCAGGTGCCTTTCAGACGCAAACCACTGGCCTGAGTCATTTTAATTGGTGCTTCTAAACACACACACACACACACACACACATGGTTACACCGGACGCAGTTTACTGACATTGTGATGGAAGTAAAGCGCGTCTCTGGAGAGGCAACCTGAGCTGAAAAATACCAAAACACTCTGTCATAAAACGCTAGCAGACTTCAACGGCCTGCTCTGAAACCAGTGGCTGCTGAAAGGATGTGTGCACTTGCCAAAACTCTCTCGGAGGAGCCGCTTTTACAGTGTTGTGATGACGATTGGTAAATGACACATACAGCTGTCAGTTTAAATAAGAAAACAATGCGCTTTCTGAACACATTAACCTGTCAGAGATAGCCTGGTAAATATCGCAGCATTGTCAGAAAGGATTAGTCTTGATTTTTATATATAAAAATACAATTTTCAAGAGTAAATAAACGTACAGATTTGTCAAGTGATCGTTTCCACCAAAGAATCCAACAATCTCATGGCAATTCGTAACTTTTTCATTTAGTGGCTAATTCGTATGAATTCGTACGATCTAATTTGTACAATTTAGTACGATTTGCTCATCCCCCAATGATGGTTAGGGTTAGGGGTGGGGTTAGGTGCCACGCCTCCTATTTAAAATCATACAATTTCGTACGACTGAACTTATACGAATTCGTACGAATTAGCCACTAAACTGGCAAAACTTAAAATACTTACGTTTTCTTGTGAGATCGGGCTGACAATTATGCAAGTTTACATCTCAAAGTATACCTTTATTATTATTGTTTTATATGTTATTAAATTATTATTGCAATTGAAAAAATGTATTTAGTAAATATTAATAATAATAACAACAATAGCATTAATAACAATAACATGATAATAATAACATTAATAATAACAACAACAACACTAATAACAACAATAATAAAATAATAAAAATAACAATAAAAGCATTAATAGTAATAATAATAATAATAACAACAGCAATAACATTAATAATAATAATAATAATAATAAAAATAACATTAATATTAATAATGATGAGTTGTTAAGCTTAAACCAATAAGATGAAAACTGCAAAGCTTAAGAAACTCGTGAAATTTTTGATATTATAAAATTCAAAATTTTTTATAACTCAATAATAACTCATGTACAGTAATTTAATAGTATTTTATTAAAAATAATAATACATATTTAACATGTGCATATTTAATTTTTTATTGGGAAAAATTAAACATTATTTAAAATAATATCATAAATATCGTTCTGTACGTTTTAATAACACTTCATTCATAACTTTGTTGAAAACATTCATTCATTTGGCTTAGTCTCTATTTTAGAGGTCGCCACAGCGGAATGAACCGCCAATTTTTCCAGCTTATGTTTTATTCAGCGGATGCACTTCCAGCCGCAACCCAGTACCGGGAAACACCCATACACTCTCACACTCATTTACTACGGACAACTTAGCTCACCTAATTCACATATAGAGCATGTCTTTGGACTGTGGGGGAAACCGGAGCACCCAGGGGAAACCCATGTGAACACAGGGAGAACATGTAAACTCCACACAGAAATGCCAACTGGCCCAACCTTCTTGCTGTGAGGCGACAGTGCTAACCACTGAGCCACTGTACAACCCAAAAGGGCAAAGATAATCTAATTTCAATTACTCTGTAAAAAATGATGATGAACTGGGAAATTTACTGAAATTTTTAATACAAAAAAGAAGGGAAAACACTGGGAATGAGATGAAACGCGAAATTAAACTAACACTTGTTTTTGTGGACTGCTTGAATGGATGGACCAACTAAAATAAATACAACTTTCCAGCTCTAATATGAAGAAAGGGGGCAGCTAAAGGCTTTTTAGGAGAAGACTCATTTCAAAGTAACAAAGGTGGATGCAATATGATAAAAATGGGTAATAATTAATAAATAACGAGTTTTTCACTACACCAAAAGCATGTAAAACCTTCAACATTTGTTAATGAAAGAACAAATACACTGTTTTTTTGAAGAACATCCCCCCTGAATACGAGGAGAACATGCAAACTCCACACAGAAATGCCAAATGGCCCAGCCAGGACTCAAACCAGTGACATTCTTACTGCTAACCACTGAGCCACCGTGCCGCTCATTATTCATTCATTTTCCTTCAGCTTAGTCCCTTTATTCTTCAGTCACCACAGTGGAATTAACTACCAACTTATCCTGCATGTTTTACACAGCAGATGCCCTTCCAGCTGCAACCCAGTACTAGGAGCCACCCATTATATTATATTATATTATATTATAATATATTATATTTTATTATATTAAAATATATTATATTATATTATATTAAAATATATTATATAAAAATTATTTTATTTAATTATATTATATTAAAATATATTATATTATATTATTTTAAAATATGTATTATATTAAATTAAATTGTATTAAATTATATTATATTAAAATATATTAAAATATATTATATTATATTATATTATATTATATTATATTATATAAATAAAGATACAATACTCCTAAAATATATATTAAATATGTATGCTTGTTTGTACTGAATAGTTGGTTTGGCATATGCATAACTCCAAAGGCCAATAAACTGAATCAAACATGCATTGGCAAACGAATGAATCATCAAAACCCAGATCTGTTCTAAAGGGAGGAGGGGGGAGTGTGAAGAAAATACAATTCAAGCATCTATCGGAGGCCTACATGCTCCGGATCAAGCGTCGCAGAAAAGTGCCTTTATTTGCATGAGTGGCTCACATCAAAGCGCGGAGGGGGAAGAGAGAAGCGACGCGCAACAATAGGAAAATCTGGAAGTGTGCGTGTGCACGTGGTGCGCCTCATTAATGAAATATAATTCCAGAGCAACCTCTGCGTTAAAAGGTGAGATGCTGTGAACGTTCGCACTGAGAAATCCAGGCTACTGTCTGTCGCTCTGCTCAATGATTCCCTTTGAGGATGAAGGAGAGAAAACCACTAGGGATTTCTGTTCTGGTAAACGCGCTCAAAGGAGAGCGCGCCTAAAGCGGCTGCGTCTGTCATATGGAGGGGAATTAAAGAGAGAAAATAGAGCAAATGACTGAAAGGGGGGAAAAAAACTCAATGTGGAGTGTAAGACGATGCGCTAAAAACAAAAACGAGGCCTTAGCTACAAGCTTAATCTCCAGGATCCAAGCTTAGTCACAACTCTGAGCAATAGCCCCCTAAAACTGACAACATAGATTTATCCGTGTCAGGGGCGTACAAAGCCACATAGCCTTGTGTTGTTCGGGGGTAGCCCACTCTTTTGAAGGTTCCTGAAAGGGTCCCTCAAGGATCGATTTGCATTTGAACTGGGGGAACCTTTCAGATGCAAACCCAGCTCTCTTCATCAAAATATTTGCATTGCTTTGACGCATTTTCTTGTTACAGTCCATGTGAGAAGTCTCACCAAGGCACTTCTCTTTAACTTTCTACCATTAAATAGATGCAAACACAGCCGTCCAGCACAACAAGCACTTCAATTAAATTGAAATAAAAGAGTTACTTGTGTACCAACACCTCAACTGAAGTCTATTTCGATTTTGCATGAGTAAATACAGCCTAAGTGAGCACTTAAGTCTTCTTCAAAGAACGTCTTCAGACAACTGTTGAAAATATAGAACGTTTTATTATCTTCTTCCAAAAAGGCACTTATTAACAGACTGATCGATGCCAACTCTTGATAAACCAAGCAAAATTAAATATATATATATATATACAATAAATAAACATCTGGACAAGTACTTAAACATATTAACAATTCATTGAACAGCTTTTAAAATGGGAACACTGTGCACTTCTCCATGCTAGAGCAATTGCAGATATTTATAGCTGATTTGGATGTGCATATCGCTCTCGTTTTCTGCTACAGCAAGCAATGATACAAAAATCTCCCTTTAAGTAACACGTACTGTCAATCCAGTATTTAGCTGCAATGTTGGGTTTTAAGTTCACCACAAAGCTGCACCGCATGTCTTATTCTCGCAAAGTCCACAGTACGGTGCATCCCAGATGAGGCCTCATACATGTGTGGGACAGTCTGAGTAGGGGTCAGTCTTGGACATGTGCAGTATAACGGCAGGTGCTTTGTAGTGGCAGTGACTGGTGCTGCAGTGCTTTCTGCAAGTCCTGTCTGTCAGCTTTCTGCTGCACAGCCCCTGCCACGTCTGAAGAGTCTTTGAGCTCCAGACCCACACACCGCTGGTGATTCCCACCACCAGCGACATGAAGATTTTCAGCATGAACACGGCCACTGTGGGCACTGAAGAGTCCAGTGAGCAGTCCTCGTTCCTTCGGCCTGGGAATGTTGTGCACTTACTTTGCAGTCCTCTGAATTTCCAGTAGTCCATGTTGAGTCGCTCGTAGAAGTAGCAGATGATGACACAGGTGGCGGGGACGGTGTACAGGATGGAGTAAATGCCGATTTTCACCATCAGCTTTTCTAGCTTTTCCGTGTTGGTGCCTTCGGTCTTCATCACCTTGCGGATGTGGAAAAGCGCCACAAAGCCAGTCAGGATGAAAGACGTCCCGATGACGAGGTAACAAGACAGAGGTACGAGGACAAATCCTGTTAGCGCCCCCACATCCATACTGCCCACGTAGCACAGTCCAGTGAGCTCATCGCCCGCAACTTTCCTCATGGTGAGGATGACTATGGTCTTCAGCGCAGGAATGCCCCAGGCGGCCATGTGGAAGTAGCTGCTGTGCGACTCGATAGCTTCGTGACCCCATTTCTTACCTGCTGCTAGAAACCAAGTAAGGGTGAGGATGACCCACCAGATGGAGCTTGCCATCCCAAAATAGTAAAGGATGAGGAAGACTATGGTGCAACCAGTACTTTCCAGGCCTTCTTGGATAATATACAACTCGCCATTCTCACGGTCGCATGCAATGTTCTCTGCACCGGCGACTGATCGGATGATAAAAGCCACCGAGTAGACGTTGTAGCACATGGAGAGGAAGATGATGGGACGCTCCGGGTATTGGAAACGATGAGGGTCCAGAAGGAAAGTTAGCACCGTGAACGCTGTCGATACGAAACACAGAGTGGACCATACCGCCATCCAAATGAAAGCAAAGTCCTTATCCTGTCTAGACCAGAACACGTCTACGGCGGACGAGCAGCGCGGCGCACATGTCTCACTCTTTTCCACATACTGAAACTTTTCTGGGTTTTCACAAACACCCATGGTGCCTCCTGAGCGAGCATTCCCAGCCCCAGGCTGCCTGGGTCTAGGCGGGACAGGCAACATCCCCTCTCCCTTCTTAGTCTCAGTTTTAGTGTCATTCTCGGGGGCTTCCATGCACAGTGCATTAGGGTCATTTCTGGTGGGCAGTTTAGAGCAGTTCAAAGATTCAGGCCAGGCGTAATTAAACTTCTCCATGATGGGCGAGCACTTCTGACGTGCCTGTTCACACATAGGACGGCAGGCAGGGATGGATGTGGACACTTGGTCTGTACACATAGGGGCGTAAAGAGAGCAGAGGAAAAATCTCAAATGCACATCACAGCCATACTCCACCAGAGGGGCAAATTCATTCAGTTTAATCGCTGCTTCCCTCTGATTGTCATGGTCCATAAAGTTGGGCATCCGGGTGAGGTTGTATCCGATGCCCTGGCACATGGGAATGACGATAGGCTCACATTTAGCCGGTCTCCCTCTCTCCAGGTCATAAGAGCCGATCTCTAAACTGTAGGCAGCAATAACCAGATGACACCACAGAGAAATCACAATTTGCAGAGGTGAGCTTCCCATTCTGGATTTTTAGTCACCTTTTTTATGAATGAGGCAAGTCAAGGTGAAGTTTCCTGGCATATGCAGTCCCAAGAAGCGGATACTTTTAGGTGTTAGGGTTGATTGTGTTGCTCCATAGACAGTCCTTAGATGAATAGAGTGCCAAATAACATTTCATTTATCATCCAGTTAAAACGCTGGAAAATATACAATGCCCTTAAATAAAACTTCTCAGACAAATCCCTTTTCAAAGTCTTCATAGCATATAAAATGATGCTGTTCAAGTGTTCAAGTTCGTCAGATGTGTGTATCGAAAGCGCGGACGCACAGATGTCACTAATATTTCACGCGAGTCATTACCGTGTTTAGTAGGACAAATAAGGGCAGCAGAGTCTTCGGTTATCTCCAAACTTCTGTGAAGCATATAAAGTCCGCGAGCAGCTTCTCTGTTCTCCTCACATCTACACTGGCGCACACTGAACTTTCGTTCTCCTCTCTCATGTCCTCTAATACGGGGGCGGGGTATTCATGACGCATTTGAACGATTCCTCCTACACTTGAGAAAAGCCAGTGACGCCGAGAATAAGCTCCGCCTACTTACTACTGAAAATATATCGCATATATGGTGGTTCCGCCCACATACAACTCAATACGCGCTCAATACAGCCTTTAGAAAGATACCAACGTGGTAATTATTTTCCTTCCAATACAGAATGTTATTGTTTCTCCTAGAATTTAATCGGGATCTCATATAAAGAAATGTTATCATATATTTCTCCTTATTTATTTATTACTTATTCAATGTCTTATTTATTCGTATCGCTTTAACTGTCTGCTCTACCAAATGGTTGACCATATTTTGACTGTATTCATTGATGACTGGTAAAGTCATTTAAAGCATGACTGTTTAAAACAATAGTTTACACTATACACAGCATTGTTGGTTTACAAAAAACAAACAGACATAATTCTGTTGCACTACTACACTTGACTTTGGTCTTATTGTAAAAAAACAAAACGTGTTCAATGAAAATAAACTTAAAAAAACTAAAAAATATTCATAGTTAGTATTCAAAAATGATTTATTTAGATTATTATTATTTTTTAATTGGACTTACACTTTATACCTTTAGATTTTTTATAGTATATTAATTAATCCCAGCGCTTTCACCATAAACCGACATATTTATAGAAATTGACATTATAGAAATTATGGGTTGTTTGAAAAAATGCATTGAATGTGTTTACTAACTACATTATGAGTTAAAAAATGCAATCAAATTTTTCTTGGTGGGGCAATTAAAAAGTTATTAAAGCTTCATTTACAAACAATAACTTTAGTTGTTAATAACTTCAGTTATTAAATTTTAGTGCAACCTCTTTTTGAAAACTTCCATGTGTCCAATTCAAACTCTGAAGCTCTTTGTTTTGGTACACTAAACTCATTTTACTTTGCATTCCTTGCAAATTTGTATAAATAAACATGCACGGTGGTGTAGTGGGTAGCATAATTGCCTCACGGCAAGAAGGTCGCTGGTTCGAGCTGGTTCGAGAGTTTGCATGTTCTCTCTGTGTTCATTCGGGTTTTCTCCAGGTGCTCTGGTTTCCCCCACAAGTCCAAAAAACATGCAGTATAGGTGAATTGAATAAACTAAATTGTCCGTAGTGTATGTGTGTGAAGGAGTGTGTATGGATGTTTCCCAGTCATGGGTTGCAGCTGGAAGGGCATCCGCTGTATAAAACATATGCTGGATGCGTTGGCGGTTCATTCCGCTGTGGTGACTCCAGATTAATAAAGGGACTAAGCTGAAAAGAAAATAAATGAATGAATGAATAAATCCTTGCATATGCAATTTCAACCACAGATTTAGCTGTAAAATCATAAACAGCCAAAGATAATAAAACGTCCCCCTGTGACACTGGTGTTATATGGTCTAAAAAAGCAGAGGCAACAGTGGAAAATTAGGGTGCAAAGGAATTCATCAAAATAGCTGCTATGATACTCAACACCTCAGGATATTGCTGCAAAGGAGAGAACTGAGTTCATTCCGAATTTAATGAAAGAAAAACAAAGGCCAGGCAAGAAATGTTAATTATGAAAATAATTCATCTGTCCCAGGTTTCATTAAACCTTGCCTTTTATTAAACTTAAATATTTACAGTGAAAAAAAATCCACATCGAGTCGATGAGAGATTCATATGAAGGAAAAAGATAATTATTACCATCTAGTGGCTATACAATGTACAACAGTTCCAGACATGCAACAAATGAGATTGAAGGCTTCCATAAATGTAACATAAATGTAAGGAATGTCCAAAAAATTCTGACATCTAGAACCAAAATGTTCAAAATGTTCAAAAATAATCTGTCTTGTTCACTCCAGGATGCATTAATCACAGACTGAGCTCAGGTTTAAAGCCACATCGTTTTGGTCAAAACAAAACAGGCTAGATTTGAAATCCCTTCTGTTTGATGTGGTTACAGTGAGCATTTAAACCTTTTCACCCGCAGTGTTAGATTGTAAGCAGTTATCAGATTTGGATTTGGTGTACTAAGCCTCACTTAGCCTGAAAGAGCACACAAAGTGAGTCTGATACCTCTCCAGCCCGGGAAGGAAACGCATACCAGACAAAATGATTTTTATCACCCTCAGCATTTGCACGTCAGACTCCAGTCCAATCCTATTTTGGAAATATGAACATCGATTTTACATTCACACAGTCATTCTTATTCAAAAGCAACTTGCATTCCATGAAGATAGAGAGTACATTCAAATGCACAGCCTTAAACACAGCCTACTCCAAGCACAGTCACGCATGTGACATGCACAATCTCTGTAGGTATCGAAGAATTCATTTGTTAAAAATTCTGGATTTTTTTTAACCAAAGTATCATAAAGACAAAAATATAGACAAAAACAATGAGACAACTTGACATTTCTTTTTGTCTGTAGGGTTTGCTCTTTTTCTCTCCGAGGGATAGAAATGCCTTTTGAAGGATTCGGATATCTGCTTTCCAATCTGTCTCATAATGAACTAACGTTTATTCTTTTCTCATTATCTTGTTTCTCATGATTTTTTTAATTAAATGTAATTATTTGATCATTTGAATGAGTATTTAACTGTAAATTGATTTTAATTAATGAATAAGTTAACACATTGCTTAATATAAGAATGTTCAGTGCATTTGCCTGTCTCTTTATAACTATTTTCAGAAGCCACCAAACTAGGTCAGAGGTCACGGATACCTTGAGTGGGACTGAGGACTGGAATCAACTGTTTCTATTGGTCTTTCTAGTAGTTCATACTATCTAAAATGTCTAAAGTCATTTAGCTATTTTTACGGTTAATTATTTTAAAGTGATTTTACTTTTAGACTTTGTATAGTAAGAATATAACTGCCTGAATGTAGATTATACCAGTTTTTAACCAGTTTTGATAAAGATGGCTGAGAGTACATGCACGACAAGTAAATTGATCAATCTAATCTCTTCATAGCATTCATTTTAGTCATCAGCTCTTATCAAGAGGGAGTTGTCGAGATCAACATGAGCTCAAAGCTCCCCTCTCACCCTGCAAACGGGAGGGAGCCCAGGGCTCAAGGACCTTTTGGGCTCAGGGCCCTCTCCACAGCATGCCAAACTTGCTTATGATCAATCATCAGCTAAGTGTGAACTCTTGAAAGACCATTTCAATGTGGTGATGCCATTGGCCCATGAACCTTTCCTGCTTGCTATCAAACTATTTCATACACAAGAGGCAATTCAATCATAACTTAATGTTAAAACAGCTGTCAACATTACTTATCAATAAGAGGCTCTTTTTGTATTCTCAGAAGCTATAGTAATTAAAAACGTAGAACAAGAAATACTTTGGGACTATTGTTTTTGTTTACATCCCTCAAATTGGTCTATAAAGAAATTGGTAGTCAGGCAACAGAGTGGTGATCACGCGGTTCAGGATGTCTGACTGTGCAAAGAATTTCATGCAGAGAAGGTTTTTTAATTGTAACGTGCCGTACCAAGCTTTCATGAAAATTCAATTGGAACTATACCTTACTGTACTAAAAATGGTTCGGCAAGGATAGTGGGAAAGTGGCTAAACATTAACATGTTTTTTGGCTTCTTCAGTAATGTGCTATTGATCTTGTTTTGCATCCTATTATTTAGCTTGTAAACAAAAACGTGTTACCACCTTGTCAACAACATGGAATAAGCAAAAGTTGCATGTGTGAGCTTTGTGAATAGGTGTGGTTAGAAAAATGGGGATGTGCAAACCCAGCAGGCACAGGACATCAACATGATGTCAGATTGAAGTTGTACCCCAACGTTGTGGAATGGTGCATTTTGGGTCGAAATGAAAATCAGGTTGACATCAGAACCCAACGTCAAGCCAACATCAGTGTCCAATGTTACACATACCTTAAATTTTGATCACTTTCCAACGCAACCTAAAAACAATCAAATATCAACGTCCTATGATGTTACAGCTTGACATTGTGTGGACGTTACCACTATGACGCCTATCAGATGTTGGAGTTTGGTTGCCATACCTGACGAATAAATGTCAGTATTTGATGTCCTCCTGACGTTGGTTTAAGATGTTGGCTCGACGTTGGATTTTGGTCACTTTCTAACACAACGTAGAACCAACAAAATATCAACATCTTATCACATCGATATTAGATGTCAAAATAATATCATGCACACACGTTCTGCCTCATGGGAGGCAGTTTAGGACAAAACATACTGAAACACTTGTGTGTACTAAATAAGTTTGCTCATACGAAATCTGGAGTGTCCCTAAGTATGACAAAACACACTAAACACTTGCATATGCAATTTTTCGTTTGAACATATTTCATGGAAACTTCCTGATATGATTAAATTTATTTTGTGCGTACACTAAACATGTGCAGGTACAACAGTACATGTGTAATATAATGTGTGTGTAAGGATATTCAATGTGTTTCATCCCAAACTGCCTCCAATATTAAAGTGTGTCTTTACGGATGCTCTTTATATGCTTGA